AAAGACAGACATTTCAACAAAGAGCATACACAGATGGAAAATAAGCACTTAAGAAGATGTTCAACATCATTAGCCGTTAGAGAAATGCAAATTAAAATCATGACCAGCTATGACCACACAGCTAACGTAACAGAACAGCTAATACAAAAATAGTGACAACACCAAATACTGGAAAAGAGAAACTGGGTCCCCTACATCACTGATGTGAGTATAAAATGGTAACATATTGGCAGGAAAACATGGTGGCTGCTCAAAAACAAAAACTTCATTTATCCTTACCATACGACCCAACAATTGCACTTCTGGGCATTTATTCCAGAGAACTGAAGACTTGTATCCACACAAAAATGTGTACATGAATGTTCATAAAAACTTTGTTCTTAAAAGCCCCAAATTGGAAACAACCCAAATATCTTTCAAAGGGTGAACAGTAGAACCAACTGTGGTACATCCACTACATGGAATATTACTGAGCAGTTTAAAAAGGAACAAACTGTTGATACACTCAGCAAGTCAGATGGATCTCAAAAGAATTATGCTGAGTAGAAAAAGCCAATCTCAAAAGGATATGTACTGTATGATTCAATTTACATGGCATTCTGAAAGTGGACAGAATTATAGAGCTAGAAACGGATTCGTGGTTACCAAGGTTTAAGGGGCAAGCGGAGAGAAAGGAGTGTCACTGTAAAGAGACAGCATGAGAGATCTTTGTGGCAATGGGACAGTTCTGAATCTTGATTGTGGTGGTGGTTTTACTAATCTACACCTGTGACAAAACTGCTTAGAATGATACATGCATACCTGCACATAGGTAATGTAACCAGTTGGCATGTGCCTAAGAGAGTAGGGATTTCTGCAGGCAGGTGTCTAGAAAAATACTTAAACAATGTGGACCCTGATCCCCCCCCCCAGACCCTGAGTGATGTGGGCTGTAAGAGAATGATCAGCCCCCCTTTGAGAGGGCTGCCGGATAGGACTGTTGTCAGGGAGGATCATCTTGAGGTGCAGGCTTGGAGGTGAGGATGTGCTCTGAGTAACGGAGAACAGTAAGGGAGTTTGCTGGTCACTGAACCAATGGTCCAGAGGATGCAGCGGGAAGCTTGAGATAGGAGGTCAGCAGAGACTTGGATGCTGGGTCAGCAGAGAAGAAACAGAGTAGCAGGGAGATAAATATTTTGGAAGATGACCAAAGAAAACAGGATAGGAGCCGGTGCCTTTGGCCAGGTGTAAGAAGATTTAGTTCATCAGCTCTAAATTAGTCTCAGAACCTGCCCCTGAGAAAGAAGGGCATGGTTAGGGAAGGTCCTTAGGGAAGTCTCAGCCTGAGGATCCAATGTGTGTTGGGGTGCATTTAATGATATGTCACCTGCTCATTCAAAAATCTGTGCACATCTGCAATTTGGGAACACAGAGGATGAATCAGATTCCGTCTCTGCTCAAATATAAGACATCTCTGTGAATACGGCTTAAAATTTCATTGAAAGAAATAAAGGAAATCCTGAGATAATTGTGATGAAAGGGAAATAGAAGATACATTTTTCTTCCTCCTATTTTTACTCTAGTGCACAGGGAGGATGCTTCCAGGCTCTGTGCACTGTCGCTCGGGAGAAGGTGTGAGGCTGGTGAGGGCCTGGGGTCAATGCTCCCTTCTGGTCCAGGACCTGGCCTCTTGAGCCCCCACTTTCAGACTTGATCTTCCAGAGGAAATTACTGTGGTAGGCAGGGCAAGAACAGACATTTGAGTTGCTTTTCTTGCACCCTTGAGATGATCTTAAACTTTTATTTATTTAGTCTAATAATACAGTGAATTGCATCAACAGATTTTCTAGTTTTAAAATATCCTGGCTTTCTTGGTATGAAACCAAATTGGTCACGATGTATCTTTTAATTGATTGCTATATTCAATCTGTTAATATCTTATATAGGATTTTTGTATCCATGTTTATAAGATAGATTAGCCTCTAATATTCCTTTTTCTTACTGCCCATCACTGGTTTGGGTATCAAGGTTATATCAGCCCCATAAGTGAGTTTGAGAGTGTTCCTTATTTTTCTATTCTCTAAAAAGTTTGTAGAAGGTTTGAATTAGATATTCCTTTAAATATTTAGAGAACTTGCCTTATTGATTTGTAAGAATTTTTTTTGTGTTATTCATATTGTTTCTTGGATAATATATATTGTGAATATTTCCTTTCCGTCTTTTAATTTTATCTATACATTTTTATTGTATAGACATTTTAATAAGTGTTATAAAGTCAAATTTAAACTCCTTTTCTTGGGATTGTTGGGTTAGCTTAGAGTGTGGGCTGATAACAACAATTTCCTGGGTTCAATCCCTGTACTGGCCAGCCACCAAATAAATAAAAAAATAAACAAACACTTTTCTTTATCTTTTTAGGTTTTGTGAATTGCTAAGGAATGTTTTTCTTGCTCAAAAAATTATAAAATGTTTTTCTTTGGGGTCTTTTTTTTTTTTTTTTCAGAAAGCTGGCTGGTATGGGGATCCAAACCAGTGACTTTGGTGTTACAACATCACACTCTAACCAACGGAATTAACCAGCCAGCACCTAGGCCTTTCATAGTTTGCAATTTTTATATTTGGGTCCTCAACTAATTTGTCCATTAATATATTTTTGCTGTGCTGATATAGAAATCTAACTTGAATTTTTTTTCCAAATATATAGCCAATTGCTTCAACATCATTTGTTCGACTATTCTACCCTTTTCTCACTGATTTTAAATTTAACCTTTATTATAAGCTAAATATATAAACCTTTACTGTAGATTTAAAATATGTGATATATATATAAAAGAGATATGTATGTATGTTTCTTGTCTCTCTCCGGTCTGTTCTGAGGCTGATAAAACACTATTTGAATAACTTGTTTTATAGCATTTTTAATCTGTGGTAGGAAAGACCTTTCTCATTTGTTTTTTCAAGTTTTCTTGGCTATTTTTATCTCATTTCTCTCCTAGAATCTCTTTAGAATCACTTTGTCAAGTTTCATGAAAACTGCACTCTGACTTTGATTGGAATTGCATGGAGTTTATATATTAATTTGACATCTTTGCAACATTGAGCTTTCCTGTCCAGGATTGTGGATATATGATTCTCCACTCATTCAGCGTCTCCCTTTCCTTAAGAGCCATATGCAGTTGACTGGAACCTCCAGTCCATGTCTTGTGGCCCAAAGACTTCTCAAAGGTTTCTCTTGGTCTGCTCCAGCTTTGCGCTTCAACTACCACTGAATTGGTTCAGTTTATAACCCCAAGTGTGGTGGAATGTATTTTCCAAAGATGGTTGCACCAGTACATATTGCATCTCCCATGCTCTTCTTGAAATGTGACATTGACACTTGTCCATCAAGAGGTGGAATCTCTTTTCTCTCCCCTTGAACCTGGGAAGATCTTTGTAACAGCCTCAATCAAAAGAATGTGGTGAAAGTGGCACTGCCTGACTTCCAAGGACAGATCCTAAGACACAATTCTCTGCCGTCTGGTGTTCTCTCTCTGAAATGCTATGTAGGAAGTTCAGCTGCCTTAAGCCACCATGCTGGAGAGACCCTGTGGAAAGCCCACAAAGTGATAAAGGAGAGAGTTGCCCAGGAAACTTAGCTATTCCAGCTCCAGCTGTTGGAGGATTCCCATCAGACATGCCAGCAAAGAAGCCTTCTACACTACCCTGGCCCCAGCCACCATGTGACTGCAACCTCATAAGAGACTTGCAGCTGGAACCAACCAGAAGAGTCACTCCTGACTTTTTGATCCAAGAAATTGTCATCTTAAGCCACTAAATTTTGGGATAATTTGTTATGCTGCAATAGATATTCATACACCAGTATGTGCTCTTCAAATGTGAAGCTCATCCCCTTTCCATAATTTCCACACAAAATAGGAAAACTTACCCACACGAGACTTTTGTGTGTTTAGCCCACAAGAGATGAAGAGGTCAATGACATAAAACTAACAACTTGAAATTGAACTTGGCCATCCCAGTTCTTAAAAGTCCTTTATATGTATTATCCCACCCACTCCAAGCAACGCCCACCATCCCTCTCTTACCTCCCCCCCCTCCTCTCGTCTTACTTCCAAGGAACTCCAAACTCTTCCTCACTCTGCTAGGCAGAGCAATTAAACTTTCTCATGCCTTTTCTCCCAAACTAGGAAGAACTTTCCAAGGCCAGTGCCCTTTGCTAGCCTGTCCAATGGAGTTGGACTCTTATAGGTTCCAGAGAGTTTTCTCAACCACTTTAGCTGCTCATATGTGGCCAGCTTCCCCATATTGGGTGCAGACCTGGTAAACAGAGGGTCTTCAATAAGTTATAATGAAAGCTAGAGTGTATCAAGCACCTACTATGTGCTGGTGCTAGGTTAAGCACCTCACAAGCACCCTCTCATTCAATCTGCACAAAAACCCTTTAAAATAAATCTTATTATCACCCCATTTTACAGATGAGGAAACTGAGGTGCCTGTGGTCATGCCTATAGTTGGTGACAGTCAGATTCCAAAACGCTTTACCGATATTGCTCAAGTGAAGGGAAAGGAAGGAACTTAGGAGAGAGGTTATGCTGGCCAAGTAGGTTTTGAAAACTCTGTTAAATACGGGTAAAAACTCTGGTAAATGGTTATTTCCACGAACGTGAATGAAGTCACTGCAGAGGCTGGGAAGGCCCAGTCCTAGAAGGGCCAGTGCCTGAGGAAGCTGCGGAGAAGAAAAGGCAATAGAAGACGAAAGGGAGCTGGATGGTGGCGGCTCGGACAGGGAAGACTTCAAGGACAGAAAGGGCAAGGACAGACTGAGGAATCAGCGGCCTCCTGCCTGCAGGACTGAAGTGGAGCTGGGCCTCACTGGTGACCTCCCGGCGACTATCTCCTAGCTGGGACAGAAGCAGGCGGGAGGGAGATGGGGAGGTCTGGAGGTGGGGTGCAGCGACTCCGCTAGAGGTGGCAGTGAAGCAGGAGGAAGAGGGCCGATCGGAAGGACTTCGGTGTGTCCCAGCATGAAGAGGCCTGACTGGAGTGGAGAGAACGGAGCCAGCGGGGAGAGGAGCGAGGTGGCGGGGCTGGAGCTCGGGGCGAGGGCCCCGGAGCAGGGAGCACTGCCCAGGCCGAGCTCTCGGGCAGAGGTGGCTGAGGACATGGGGCAAGTGACGAGGCCGCGGGTCAGGGGAAGGTGCTGAGCCTGGAAGTCAGGCCGGATGAGACTTCGGACGCCTCGTCACGGAGGAACGGGACCGTCGTCTACGTCCAGCACCCCGGTGGCCCTCGGATTATCCGGCGGGGGCCTCCGGGCAGCCCCGGGCGAGGCAGGAGGGTGGGCGCTGGCGGCCTGCCGAGGCGG